TGAAAGCACCAAACTCTATGAGCAAGAACTTCGGCATTCAAAAACCACATTTTTGAATGCCCAATCACTAGATCCCTCAGACCTGCTGGTATGAGGTACCTGGAGCTTTAGCAATTACTGTATTCACTCCGGTGTTCTTGAGGATAGCCTCATACCGCATACAAAGCTTGCTAGCGCAGGCTACTGACCACATGTATCTATGACTAACCTTCCTGTGAGATGGGGATTTCCTAGCACCACTCTAGACACACACTAGATAAATCCTTCATACAGTCTAGGGTAGATACATAAATACAGCCGTGCCTAAATATATTAATAACCAAAAGGATAAATCAAATTATGAAACAAACTCATTGCAAATTAAAGTTGCTCAGGTTACTTAATTAAAGACTAATTGTGGCTGTCCTCTAACCCAGTGTTGATATATACACAAAACTGTAACTAACTTATCAAGATTGTAACTTGTTTAGCTAAATGAATGTTTGGGTTCAGTTCCTGAGCACTATGTACCTCTGGAACTCCACTACTGCCCACAGGATGGGTATGGGGCCCACTGCTGCCCACAGGATGGGTATGGGGTCTACTGCTACCCACAGGATGGGTATGGGGCCCACTGCTGCCCACAGGATGGGTATGGGGTCTACTGCTACCCACAGGATGGGTATGGGACCCACTGCTACCCACAGGATGAGTATGGGACCCACTGCTGCCCACAGGATGGGTATGGGGTCGACTGCTGCCCACAGGATGGATATGGAGTCCACTGCTACCCACAGGATGGGTATGGGGTCCACTGCTGCCCACAGGATGGGTATGGGGCCCACTGCTACCCACAGGATGGGTATGGGACCCACTGCTGCCCACAGTATGGGTATGGGGTCCACTGCTACCCACAGGATGGACATGGGGTCCACTGCTGCCCACAGGATGGATATGGAGTCCACTGCTACCCACAGGATGGGTATGGGGTCGACTGCTGCCCACAGGATGGGTATGGAGTCCACTGCTACCCACAGGATGGGTATGGGACCCACTGCTGCCCACAGGATGGATATTGGATACATAATAAATGAACTAAACTAGACTTAGATAAATCTCCTATTTCCGCCAAGTATGCACCCAGTGGGCACAATACCCAGTGGACTTAATACCCAGTGGGCATAATACCCAATGTAATTGGTTGATGGAACATAACTCTTTAATATTATGCCCAACAGGCATGTGTGAGATTCAACGATATCCCCCTGGATATCGTCAAAGGAATGGCTCCTTAAGCCACAGATGAGCGTGTTAGACAGTGTGGTGAAATTATATGGAAGATTTCACAGCTGGAAATTGGTAGCCGGCTTTGTGGTCCCAACAATTGCTCTCTTGAAAAATAATTCATTTTTGAAAGCATGTAATTGAATCTCTTTGAAAGCCGAGAAGCGGATGATGTTACGTTAGCGATTAGTGAACAATTTATTGTGAAACATTGTGTTTATATGTAGTGTAGTTTATGATATGCAGAGATTTCAGTGCTATGAGATAAAACAGTGTCCATTTATTAATTACTACTAATTTTATTAATTGTTAATAATGAATTCCATATTATATTTGTTTTTTGTTCCGGTAAAATATAGCCTAACCTCGAGCCTAAATTGTTTTCGTACAATTATTTATAATTGACAATTATTTGCATTTACAATACGTGATGGGGTGAACCGTTTAGTGTGTTCAGAGAGGTGCGACTCGAACACAGGAAGAAAGTGAAGCATTGTTCAAGAAAATTTCGAACGTTGAACCAATCTGACATTAAGAAGTTGTGAGTCATGTACCTTAACAACCCGTTCTCATCAACAAAGACCAAATGCTCATTAATCCACCCGCCAGACCCCCCCTTCTTTGTGAATGAAAAACACTTTATACAACTCATAACTTATGTATGTATTTGTCTGGAACAGCGCCTCCTTTACGTCCTGTGCTCGAATTACAACCCGCTAAATCAGCCCGTCCTCCAAAGATCCAAAAGTGATTCCATGCACTCATCAAACCCGCTGTTTATGAATGAAAAACGGTTTACACACGACTCACAACTGCTGACGTTCGAACATATCCGGAACAAGTGCTTCACTGACGAATTTTGTTCGAATCACAACGCTGTAAATGCTTCACCCACGTCCTAGAAATGCAAATAATCGCCAACAGAACCTAAACACCTAACCTATCCTATGCCTATATATACACAATATGCTAATATATTATAATATTAATTTATACTTCCGAAAATTCCCGTTTTGAATGAACAGCATGTTAAAATATATGAATGGGTCTGTGGGGTCGACCGCTGGATGTAATGGACTTGAGTCGAGGACGGGTTGCCTAAATGCTTCATCCACGTACTGCAAATACCACAAATTGCCAATAGAATCTGTTAGGCCTTCAACACATTCTAATATGTAATAATATTTACTTGAGAAAATACAATTTTTGAATATTGGACGCCAATGTCGCTGATAAGAAGAGTCTAGCCTAAAGATAGGTTCAGTTGAATAGTATTTTTAATTTTCATTGGAGAGCGGCGGCCAGATTAAAATAACCTGATTTAGTGTAACCAGAATTTACCATTCCTATGTGGCCTATACAATATGGGGTACACGGCTTCAAACGCCTTATATTGGTAATTCGGAAGATATGGACCTTGGACCAGATTCACGAAGCAGTTACGCAAGTACTTACGAACGTGTACATCTTTCCTCAATTTTTGACGGCTTTGTTTACATTTATTAAACAGTTTACAAGCATGAAAACCTCCCAATCAACTGTTTTTATTGCTATAAATAGCCTCCTGGTGCTTCGGAGCTCATTTACCGTTTAATAATTGTAAACAAAGCCGTCAAAGATTGAGAAAAAATGGACATGTTCGTAAGTGCTTGCGTAACTGCTTCGTGAATCTGGCCCCTTGTAAATAAAGGAAACAAAAATATTGAGTTATCACGTTCAGGTCAGTGGCATGGCGCAGTGAATGATGTGCGCATTACTCAGTAAGTTAAGCAACATCGAGTCTGGCCAGTAACCGGTTGAGTGACGTTACAGGCAGCCTCGTCTTAAAGGCAATTCCGAGAAGCCTAAAACCCGGGAGTGAAAATATGCATGAGTAACGTCGTTTTCATAATGTGATTTGGGGAACAGTACATACATACACATTGAGTTACAAGCAGAATGCTGGATTTCTAGATAAAGCAAGTACATAATATGCCTAAAGTCACTAGCATTCACAGCGCTTTGGTCACGAAACTTTCGGTCAATTTTAACGTTGAATCTCCATCAACGTTGAAATACCTGGTTGATACCTGGTTGATGGGGTTCTGGGAATTCTTCTACTCCCCAAGCCCGGCCTGAGGCCAGGCTTGACTTGTGACTTCCCAGTATTTTGGGCATTGGGAAAGCCTCGTGTGCCCAACGTAGGGTAAACCAGTTTCAAGAAGTTTTGTTTGAATTTGTGAGCACGCAAGCTGTCAATTTGACACGTCTCTTCCTTGGCTGACGGAGTATTTATACAGAGGTCGTGGAGGTCCCCAGTGATGCAGTTAACGTGCTAGAAATACACACTGTATATATCACACAATGTATCAATGATCTGAGCGTTTGTATAATATTGTATTATGTACTTTGCCGCCCAACACATGGAATGCCCTTAGCCTATTGGTTGGTTGTGGGGGAGGGAGGGGTGGGCGTACTGATGATACTAGTGGGGGGTGTGGTGGAACTTGTGGGGGTGTGGGGGTACTTGTAGGGGTGTGGTGGTACTAGTGGGGGTGTGGGTGGTACTTGTGGGGGTGTGGTGGTACTAGTGGGGGTGTGGGTGGTACTAGTGGGGGTGTGGGTGGTACTTGTGGGGGTGTGGGTGGTACTAGTGGGTGGTACTGTACTGTCAGAGCCTGGTTGATCAGTCCAGCAACCAGGAGGCCTGGTCGACGACCGGGCCGCGGGGACACTAAGCCCCGGAAGCACCTCAAGGTAGCCTCAAGGTAGGTAGGTAGGTACTTGTGGGGGTGTGGGTGGTACTTGTGGGGGCTGTGGGGTACTGTTGATACTAGTGGGGGGTGTGGGTGGTACTAGTGGGGGTGTGGATGGTACTAGAGGGCGGTGTTGGGGTACTTGTGAGTAAGAGCAGTGGACAAGTGTGGTACGTCATATTAAGCGTGATGTGGTTGACATTTGAGGGTGTTGTGACCATCGGGTGAGCTAGCTGTATGCGGGTGGTTGTTGACCACACTTGGGTGACATGTGTTGGTTGTCAGGTGTGTGGGGTGGTGGGGTAGACAGTGAGGGGTGGTGCTTGCTCAAGTGCTTTGGTAGGTGGGTCAATAAATGACGTAAATGAGGTTGATAAAGTGTAATTCCCCCCCACCAGTGTAAGCCTTGAATTGTCGCCATTAGAGGCAGTTTGCACCGGCGACTCCGTGATGACTGAGGTGGTTAATCTTTCTGGAGTGCCACGGTTATTAATGAGAGGGATTTAGATGTTTGAGGAGGCTATGAAAGGAAAAAATGTTGAAGCAGAGTGAAGCCGTCTCCCCCCGTGGAGGCGATATTGGTGGAGTGTTCAGCGCGTCGCATCCTTGCTACAACACCACCAACCAACAACAAACCCGACCTTGACTTCTACAAAAACTTTGAACTTGTCCTAGCCCGACCTGACTGTTTATGGAGCCATGCACAGGTTTCGTACTGAAAAAGGAAGCTCCCTGGAAGCAACATGGAGCTTACATTAAGCTTTATTAATAGCAGATATGGTGACAGCTGGCACGGGGCTGCGCCAAGATGCAACAGCCTTTGTTTACCTGCGAATCTCGAGCAACAAACGACTGTCATTCATTATTTTACATTTCGACGCGTTCATGTAACCCGTCGAAGTCATTGGCAAGGCCTGGAGGAGGAAATAGGCCGTGTGTAGGGAGGACAGAGCATGTACGCAGAAAGTGTGCGAGTGGAGCGGGTGGCGAGGGCTGGCAGCCGAGGGAGGTAGCAGCAGAGGGCGGCTGGGGATGGTCGAAGGCTTCAGTTTACATCGCGTTCTCGTCCTGGTAGACTGTGTATACCCTCGGTAAACCCCCCCTCTAGCACTGGTCGATAGTGCAGGTCTCATCACCTGTGGTGTGTGTGTCTGGAGGTGTGTGCTGCGAAGAGAGAGAGAGAGGGGTTGGCAGGAGTTGAGGTGGTGACAGCCATGAGTGCGGGGGCATTAACCTGCACTCTGGCCAGAGCTCTTCCTTGCCTGAGGACAGGCCCACCTGACAAGCGGACTTAGCAACGTCATTTTAAACCCTCCTCACTCACTCGAAAGTGCGTGCATGTGCGTGAGTAACCAAGAGCCCACACCCGCAAGTCGCGCCCATGACCACTACACCAGACATCTCTCTTCTCGGTTGGAATTTTGACGAGTTCTGAGAGACTCTTGACTGTGTAGAGAACCCTCTCTCTCTCCCCCCCCCCCCCCCCCCCTCTGAGTGAAGAACCACGGCCAACCCGATATAGAAACAGGTTCATTCTGCATTATTTAGTGAAATCTTGTAGTTGTGTAGTGAATGCCGCAGTGAAGAACAGTTTTTAACTGTGAGTGATTTGAGTCAAAACGCCTTCAGAGTGTCAAGGTGAGTGTCGGTCAAGAGACTCCTCCGTCAACAACAACAATCACCACTCGATTCAGACCTTAGTAAGTCAGACACGATTATGTATTTATATGCAAACTGCTCTTTAATGAGAATCTATTGTGTTAAAAATGATTGTAAGTGAGCTGTAGGAGCCATAGAAACCCCCTAAAATCCCCCACAAGAATTAAGTGTATTTGAATCTGAAAAAGTGTATTAAGGCCAGAATTCCCCTCTCACTTAAATCTACCTTCCCCTCGACTCGTTAATTCTTTAGAAACATTGATTCTTCCTTACTGACACACTCGCAATGGTTTCCTCCGGTCAAGATTTGCTGGTTTAGCTGTGGGGTTTTGGGGTTGTAATGTCATTTGTGGGGTTGTAGGAAGTCAATCTTGAGGAAGGTTGTTCGAGGTCAAGCAACAACCCCGGCCACTTGACTTGGTTGTCCTTGAAGATCCTCCCAGATCACGTAATATTGCACAGAAACCTCATTGCTATACACTTTGTGCTTAACGCGTGTAAGTCTTATTAAGTCTTATTAAAGCAGGTCTTATTAAGTAGTTTCAAGTAACGATGTATATGTTCTATAGTTCGGTTAATATTTTACACGGGAAAAATCCACTCTTTTTTTTTTTTTTTTTCCCCCGTCGACGTATCTTTTAAGTCTTAGATATTGTATATGTACAATATTTGAATATATTCAATCACAGTGTATTTGGTTTCTAATTAAGTGGTTTTGTTTAGTCTTTTGCCAAGATGTCAAAGTCTTTTTGATACCTTGACACCTAAACAAAGTCTTTTGAAGTCTTTTAGCTTCAAAATGTTCATATGAGTTCCTTATACTGGCTGTCAAGAGATATCAAGTGATGTGCAGGTTGAGTGATTTGTATCATTGAGATAACAGGAGTGGATCTATTGCTACGTCTTGTGCTTGCTATCGAAATGGCATTACTTAGGATAACGATGTATTCAAATGCTTAGAAATAATGTGATAAAATCAGTAGGGAAAACAGTGATTGAATGCAACTTTGCGCGAAAACTTGAACAATGGGATTGTTTGGCGAGAGATGAGGGTGAAAGCTGGGGCCAGACAGCTGCTTTCTCAGCTGAGAGATCACTGTGGTTCACAACTGCGCACCCCACTGACTTCTGATCCACCCCACTGGTCCCTTCTGCCGCCAGAATCCTGATTATCTCAGGAAGATGTTCCTTGTCTCGTCTGCTCCTGGGGGTTTTGGCTCAGGTAGGACTCCTGTATGTTGCTTCCTGCTAGGGCTGGCTTCCTGCTGGCATTGGCTTCCTGCTGGCATTGGCTTTCACTGCGCAGAACAACGTGACTAAGTCTCGCTTTACGGGATTTTTTAGCCTAGTGGCTTTCTTTGTTATGATTCGACGGGCGGGATTTTGTATTCCACGGTTAGGGAGATTCCCCAGACCTGCTTAAACAACTAGTTTTCAATGTTTTTTTTATTTGTTACAAAATTGTGAACGATATATGAGTGTTATGTTTAATATAGGGCGAGTGGCGAGGACTTAGGCCGAGTTTTTGGGGGAGGGTCGACAAACCAAGCAAGACAAGGGAAGACCGAGCTCCCTCACTCCTAATGCGTCATTAATGTCCCTCCCTGTGAAGCACACTTCACGCCTTTGAGTATAAATACATGTAGACGACTCGCTTATTATTCTGCTTAGTCGCCATGATGAACTGGTAAGCGCCGTGCAACGCTAACTTGCATCAGTATCGCAAAAACTACAGCATGCAGAAAAACTCTTGGACTGTAAACAAGTCGTAGGGCCCCAGCTCTTTGTCTGGTGTTTACTGTAGCTTGGGTGTTTACCATAATGTTAAGGTACACTTGAGAGAGTGGTGCTACACTTGTGAAGACACGGCCTTCCTCGTGTGTACACATTCTTTGTTCTCCCGCAATCACCTTTGTTCTACCTTAGTTTGGTTCTATTTATATAACATACACATACAGTGTGTGTGTGTGTGTGTGTATATATATATATATATATATATATATATATATATATATATATATATATATATATATATATATATATATATATATATATATATATATATATATATATATATATATATATATATATATATATATATATATATATATAATGCATATGTGAGTGTTACTGAATTTAATAGAAAAGGTTATGTCACTGATTCTAGCACGAATCTTCTCTATATCATTTATTCTTCATTTGAGAATGAAGTTGAAAAATTAAGTCTCCGAAATTCATTTTGCAGTTTTATCAGTTTGCCTCACACTACTAGATGCCTTTAGTTGATCTTGCCAACATTTTCCCAAGGCACAGTAGGAAATGAATACCACTTACCCGGAGCAACTAATGTATAACTGAGAATGAGGTGAAGTAAGGGGGGTAGTATGTTGGATATTCTGTCTTGGTCTTGGAGATGGTAGAATGTAAGAGTATGTCAGCTGTTACATAACAGTTGGTTCATATGTAACAACTTACATATGTAACAGTTGTTACATATGAACCAACTCTGGTCAGTTACATTCTACCAGCTTCAGTCACAAAACATCCAGCATACCTAGAACAGCAGGTATTGTAAATAATTGGGCTTGTTGATTCAGGCTCACCTGTTGTTGTTGTTGTCCCCCTCACAGAGGATGCCTTTGTTGTTGTTGTTGTCACCCCTCACAGAGGATGCCTTTGTTGTTGTTGTCCCCCTCACAGAGGATGCCTTTGTTGTTGTTGTCCCCCTCACAGAGGATGCCTTTGTTGTTGTTGTCCCCCTCACAGAGGATGCCTTTGTTGTTGTTGTTGTTGTCCCCCTCACAGAGGACGCCTTTGTTGTTGTTGTTGTCACCCCTCACAGAGGATGCCTTTGTTGTTGTCCCCCTCACAGAGGACGCCTTTGTTGTTGTTGTTGTCCCCCCTCACAGAGGACGCCTTTGTTGTTGTTGTCCCCCTCACAGAGGATGCCTTTGTTGTTGTTGTCCCCCTCACAGAGGATGCCTTTGTTGTTGTTGTCCCCCTCACAGAGGATGCCTTTGTTGTTCCCCTCACAGAGGATGCCTTTGTTGTTGTTGTTGTCACCCCTCACAGAGGATGCCTTTGTTGTTGTTGTTGTTGTTGTCCCCCCTCACAGAGGATGCCTTTGTTGTTGTTGTCCCCCTCACAGAGGATGCCTTTGTTGTTGTTGTTGTCACCCCTCACAGAGGATGCCTTTGTTGTTGTTGTTGTCACCCCTCACAGAGGATGCCTTTGTTGTTCTCCCCCTCACAGAGGATGCCTTTGTTGTTGTTGTTGTCACCCCTCACAGAGGACGCCTTTGTTGTTGTTGTTGTCCCCCTCACAGAGGATGCCTTTGTTGTTGTTGTTGTTGTCACCCCTCACAGAGGATGCCTTTGTTGTTGTTGTTGTCCCCCTCACAGAGGATGCCTTTGTTGTTGTTGCTGTCACCCCTCACAGAGGACGCCTTTGTTGTTGTTGTTGTCCCACTCACAGAGGATGCCTTTGTTGTTGTTGTTGTCACCCCTCACAGAGGATGCCTTTGTTGTTGTTGTTGTCACCCCTCACAGAGGATGCCTTTGTTGTTGTTGTTGTCACCCCTCACAGAGGATGCCTTTGTTGTTGTTGTTGTCCCCCTCACAGAGGATGCCTTTGTTGTTGTTGTTGTCACCCCTCACAGAGGACGCCTTTGTTGTTGTTGTTGTCCCCCTCACAGAGGATGCCTTTGTTGTTGTTGTTGTCACCCCTCACAGAGGACGCCTTTGTTGTTGTCACCCCTCACAGAGGATGCCTTTGTTGTTGTTGTTGTCACCCCTCACAGAGGATGCCTTTGTTGTTGTTGTTGTCACCCCTCACAGAGGATGCCTTTGTTGTTGTTGTCACCCCTCACAGAGGATGCCTTTGTTGTTGTTGTTGTCACCCCTCACAGAGGATGCCTTTGTTGTTGTTGTTGTCACCCCTCACAGAGGATGCCTTTGTTGTTGTTGTTGTCACCCCTCACAGAGGACGCCTTTGTTGTTGTTGTTGTCCCACTCACAGAGGATGCCTTTGTTGTTCCCCTCACAGAGGATGCCTTTGTTGTTGTTGTTCCCCTCACAGAGGACGCCTTTGTTGTTGTTGTCCCCCTCACAGAGGACACCTTTGTTGTTGTTGTTGTCGCTCTCACAGAGGATGCTTTTGTTGTTGTCCCCCCCCTCACAGAGGATGCCTTTGTTGTTGTTGTTGTCCCCCTCAGAGAGGATGCCTTTGTTGTTGTTGTTGTCCCCCTCACAGAGGACGCATTTGTTGTTGTTGTTGTCCCCTCTCACAGAGGACGCCTTTGTTGTTGTTGTCACCCCTCACAGAGGATGCCTTTGTTGTTGTTGTCCCCCTCACAGAGGACGCCTTTGTTGTTGTTGTTGTCACCCCTCACAGAGGATGCCTTTGTTGTTGTTGTTGTCCCCCCTCACAGAGGATGCCTTTGTTGTTGTTGTCACCCCTCACAGAGGACGCCTTTGTTGTTGTTGTCCCCCTCACAGAGGATGCCTTTGTTGTTGTTGTTGTCACCCCTCACAGAGGATGCCTTTGTTGTTGTTGTTGTCACCCCTCACAGAGGATGCCTTTGTTGTTGTTGTCACCCCTCACAGAGGACCCCTTTGTTGTTGTTGTTGTCCCCCTCACAGAGGATGCCTTTGTTGTTGTTCCCCCTCACAGAGGACGCCTTTGTTGTTGTCCCCCCTCACAGAGGACGCCTTTGTTGTTGTTGTCCCCCTCACAGAGGATGCCTTTGTTGTTGTTGTCCCCCTCACAGAGGACGCCTTTGTTGTTGTTGTCACCCTCACAGAGGATGCCTTTGTTGTTGTTCCCCTCACAGAGGACACCTTTGTTGTTGTTGTCACCCCTCACAGAGGACGCCTTTGTTGTTGTTGTCCCCCGCCCTCACAGAGGACACCTTTGTTGTTGTTGTCACCCCTCACAGAGGACGCCTTTGTTGTTGTTGTCCCCCGCCCTCACAGAGGACACCTTTGTTGTTGTTGTCACCCCTCACAGAGGACGCCTTTGTTGTTGTTGTCCCCCTCACAGA